TCTCTTTCTTGCTCTCTCTCTCACTGCTTGCTGTCACTCACTCAGTGTGTACAGGTCTCTCAGGCTTTGCTAACGCAGCCAAACAGAGACTAGGAGGTCCAGCTGGATTTGGAGCAAAGCAGCCTGTGGCAAGTCTAGGCAGCAGCAGCAGCAGTAACGTCAGTGTGAGTGCGAGCATGTGTGTGTGAGAGCGCGAGTGTGAGTGTATGGGTTAGCAGAGTGGGAGGGGGCAGCACTTCCTTGGCTCAGGGACAGCTGGGCAGAAAGATAAGAGTGGCAGAGTTACAGAGAGAAAAGAGAGAGAAACAGAACGAGAGAAAGGGGGAGAGAGAGAGAGAGAGAAGAAGAAGAAAAAGGAGAAAAGAGCTGTTTTGGGATACTTCTGTTTCACCATGAGATGACTTCCCTGGAGCACATTTCTGAACTGGCCCGGACATGAATGTAAGTTTAAACAGTTTCTGGCTGGAATGGCACTGTGATTGCTGTGTTTGCTAGAGTTGTTGTTTTAAGGAGGGGAGGAGTTTCCGCTGAGACAGTGGCACATTGTTTTTTATTAAGGTCGGAAACTTTGATAAGGCTGAAATGCATCCAAGTGTTCTGTTTCCAAGTTCTTATTCTGCCATTCTGTTTTAGTAAGAATGGGACCAGTTTGTTCTTTTGGTGCCTTGTGTGGAGATGTGTAATCATCTAAAACTGGCAAATTAGAATAGCATGGGTGCCATACCAAGTCTGATATACATTATCTATAAGGCCAACTTTTCATCCCTGTCTAGAAATCTCCAAGATAGTAACTTTACAGGAAAAGGCAAAACATTTGTATTTTTTTATGCAAGCTGATTTAAAGAGATTTTATTTTGGATTATTTTGGAACATTTCTGTTGGTTCATTACTCAGTGTAAAAAGCAATTGCTGTGTTCAAACTATGTAGAATAACAAAAATTAGAAAAAAAGAAGATTTTTTTGTAGTAATGCTTATATTTGTTTTTTCAAACTTATTAATTATTCTAAGGTCACTGTGTATTTACTGTGTAGTTTACTGTATATTCAGTGAGACACTCTTTCACATAAATTGCTTCTTGAGGAAATTAGATCTGAATGAATATGAGCTTGTCACAGGTCAGAAGATCAGATTTACACAGTTTTCCCCTCAGCCCAAAGTGTGTCTCAGTTATGAGGCTGATGTAGTTAACAGTAATGAAATTCTATAATGTTAGCCTCATAGCTCCACAGAAAAAGTATCAAAACAAACTTTGAACACTAATCATGCTTTGGCAGATCACCTACATTTGGGGTAAGGAGAGATTTTATACATGTTTCTATTAAAATGATCAGACCTCCATGTGTTAAGCTCTCGCTTTTGTTTTTTGTAATACACATTGATTGCCCCCTGTGTGGTGGAATGCTGTGGATGTTTGAATGACCTGTGGTATGGCCTTGAATGTGGCCTGATTGAGCTTTGTTTAACCACTTTTGTGTGAGAGTGTGACAGTGTGATAGAGGAGCATGGGGGAAAAGAGTAGCACTTGGTCGTTGGCCGTGCTCTTCTTCTTTTATGAAATATTCAGGTGAAATGCTGCTGCTTGGAGCACAGTCAAGCCATCCTGTCCCATCCCCCTCACTGAGCCCCAACTACACCAGCATCGGCGAGAGACAGGAGATTAAGCAGATTTAATAAAGATAGGAACGTATAGTTGGTTACCTTTCAGATTAAAGCTCATTCACAGAATCCTGCTATGCTGCTGAACAGTCTGTCTGTAACATAATGCAGCTTTTTCAGTTCCCATCTGGTCGCCCTGAGTTGCTCACGCTCATACGCTTGTGAAAGAAAAGAAAAAAAAAACAAGTCCACTGAGACTGAGAATGATGTGATGTTCCTCACTAATCTGTCAACAATATCAGTGTTTGGGGGGGTCAACCCAGTGAAGGTTTTATCCGCTTCCCACAATGCTTTGGGGCAGGCACATGTGGGCTGCTTTACATTATGCATTAGGAACAATGTAGGGCTTTCGCATGAGTGACTGCAGCAGAGACCAAACACATTAGTTGCGCCAGTCCAGCTAAGAGCACCTCAAGAATGAACAGTCTACTCACCCGCAGCATTCACTGAGAGAGTAACAAGCAGGATAAAAGGGGACTGATAGGAATAAAGATGAAGTTGACCGTCATAACTGTAAAATCATGATGCTTTCTGCTGCTGTAAATGCAAAAATATGTGTAATATATAGGGCAGTGGGTTTTTTCTCTCATAGACATTAGAGTCATCTGTATGATTCCAAAATCCTGATTGTAGAAAAAGGCGGTGTTCACTAAGAATGGCAAAAAGTATAGCAAAAAATATTAGATCACAGTACTTCAAGACATTTTCATGGTACAGAATATGCATCATGATATGCAGTGAAATATGTAGGTAGTCAGTTTTCTGTACTGTACTGTACTGTTCAGTACTAACGATACCATATATGCTCAGAAAAGAGTATTATGACATAATTTATCATGATAATGATAAAATATCATCATCATTACCCCCCTCTAGTGCACACCAGGACATTATCTATTAAAAACACATCTCTTGGTATTAATGTTAATGAAAACATTGCAGTAGTGAACAACAAACACCAACGCATCACAGTCCATAAATAGTACTCTGTTGTCTGTTGAAAAAGTTATGACAGAGTTGAACTTTCGACAGACAGTACTTACGCATCAGCCAGTAGGAGACACTGTGGGGCTGGGCTTCAGTCAGTAACATCAGTGTTGAACGAAATGCTATTCGCTGCCATTAACTCACATCCAGAGCTGTATAGTTCAGCTCTAAAGATATAGTGGCATATAGAGCTACGACTGGTTTGGTTAAAACCTACACATGTCTTTTTGCTTTGTTTCATGAAAAACAACAGCAAACAGCAGCAGTTTTTACTTTCAGGTTTTTGTGTTTTATAGAGATTTCTGCCCACAACCTTCTCCGTCCACAAACACACCCACAGAGAACTAGTAGTGTGTATTAATGTGTGTTTTTGACAGATTCCAAAATGCCTTGTAGCTAAAAAAGTACATCCTGTGAAGCATGTCATGATAATCAAAAGAAACACCAAAATCAAAATAACTTGGATTAAATACATTGAAATAACATATTTCACTATACTGCTGAGTCTGATCCACTCGTATCATTGCAACACACACTAACACGCCACCACCATGTCATTGTCACTGCAGTGCTGAAAATGATCTACCACCTAAATAATACCTGCTCTGTGGGGGTCCTGACCATTGATAAATGGGGTAAAGGTGGAATAACAAATCATGCAAAGAAACTGTAATTGTACAACGTACATCTACATGGTAAGTATAGCTGGACAGCAACAATGAACAGCAAGTGTAGTTATGTGTACCTAATAAAGTGCTCAGTGAGTGTATATTGCTTAACATATATTTGCATATTTGTGATTATATTAACTAATATTTAAATTTTAAACATTGACACTGCTCAGTCTGCTTTCCTTTGTGTTAGACAGCAGAAGTTAAACCAGTGTTTAACATAGACCACTAGGCTATCAAATTATTATGGCAATAGTTCTAAAATAGTTGTTTTATTATTTGAAAGACATACAGATTGAACTGCGTTTGTTTAAATGAGAGCGCCAACTAATAAAGTAATTTGAAATAAATAAATAAGTGCTGATTTGTCTAGCCTGATCTTCTCTTAATAGCTTTAATACACAACCCGTTTCCAAAAAAGTTGGGACGCTGTGCAAAATAGAAATAATAGAATTCAGTGATGTGCAAATCATTTCAACCCTATATTTAATTGAAATTAGTACAAAGACAACATATCAAATATGAGACGCCAGCAACACATTTCAAAAAGGTTGGGACAGAGGCATGTTTACCGCTGTATTGCATCAACTCTTCTTTTAACAACACTGTGTAAGCATTAAGGAACTGACGGGTCCTATATATTGCCAAATTTTGAGAGTGAAATGTTTTCCCATTCTTGCTTGATAGGCTAACAGCTGCTCAACAGTTTGGGCATTGTTGTTGTTCAGCATTAATGGTGCCTTCATAAATGTGCAAGTCACCCATACCCTGTGCACTAATGCACCCTCATACCATCATGGATGCTGGCGTTTGAACTGTGTGCTGATAACAAGCCGGATGGTCCCTCTTCTTTTTAGCTTGGAGGACACGACATCAGATTTTGATTTGTCACATCACAGGACACTTTTGCACTTCGCCTCAGTCCATGAGCTTGGGCCCAGAGAAAGTGGCCGCGTTTCTGGATCCAGTTTATAAATAGTTTCTTCTTTGCTTGGTAAAGTTATAACATGCATTTGTGGCTGCAGTGATAAAGTGTGTTCACAGACCGTAGTTTTCGGAAGTGTTCCTGATTTCCGCTACAGAATTATGTATCACTGCCAGTCAGTATTGGTTTTCGGGCTTGTCCCTTGCATACAGAGATTTCTCGGGATTCTCTGAATCTTTTGTGATGATATTATGTACTGTAGATGATGAAAAGCAAAAGTTCTTTGCTATTTTACGTTGAGAAAGGTTATTCTTGAATTGTTGCACTATTTGCCCATGCAGTCTTTCACAGAGTGGTGAACCCCTCCGCATCTTTACTTTTGAAAGACTCAGCCTCTCTGGGATGCTCTTTTAATACTTTTAGTACAAACCCATTTATGCCATTTTATTCAGTTTTTTGTTAATAATTTGTGTTCTTAATTTTTCCATCTTAGTTGGCAATTTTTTTTAAGAAGTTTTTCATAATCTTTTTAAAATGTTACTATTTTGCTGGTGCATTTTGTCCATTCCAACTTGTTCACTAACCTCAGAAAAACATGTTGTGACACACATCATAGATTGTAAAAATGCATTCAAGTATTGCATATATATAGTATATTTCTGCCATATTGACCCACCTAATGTCTGGAAAGTGGGGTGCAGGTGTTAATGCATTGTGTTGTGATTATGGGAGTTAGTAACTGGTTTGTGTGTTTGGGCAGCGCTCCAGTCCAGATGCAGCAGACCCCAGTGAGGAGAGCACAGACACTGAGGACAATGAGGAGGAGGACCTGGGGGTGCTGGATGACCAGAGGAGCATCATCCTCCACCTGCTTTCTCAGCTCAAACTGGGCATGGACCTCACACGGGTACATGCACACACACACACATACACACCATACTCGCACATAATATAATTCAGATAATGTAAGTGTGATGACACACAGGGTCACATGGGGTCATTGTATGGGTTTAGTTTGCACGAAATGTAATTACCAAATATTTATATGTCTGCATTTAACCACTGCATTTTTCCATGTTTGTTATCCCATAGGTTTGATCTTTTTCTATCCTCTTATTCTAAAATGCTGAAATTAGTAAAAATCTAAAAAAGAAAAGAAAAAGTTTTGCACATAAAGGGCTGACTAAGTTCTGCACGCAGTTGTCACTGCAGACTGTGTCCTCCTTAGAGATGGATATTAATGTATTGTCTGGACCAGGTCATTCATGAAGTTATGGTTGGCAGCTGCAGAAAGCTTATTAAGATATTATTAAGGTTTTACAGAATTATAATCACAGATCATTATCATCACTATGAAGACTATGAAGAATATCAGTTGCATAACTACAGAGATGATTACGCAAATATATAATTTGATAAAAAGCCATGACATCTGATCTGATGAGTTCCTTTTCCGTCTTTTGATGTAGATTGTCACAGGCACAGATTCAAGTATAATGTGAAGGATTGTGATTTTATCATCTTAATTAGGCTTTATTAGCCTTACAACCTGTGATTTCTCAGACATTTATTGAGAACGTCGTCACGATGAATTAAGGACATGTCTTACCAGCCTTGACAGAGCTAATGAAAGTCTATTGATTATGAAGTCTTTATTTCGGGACACATCTAGAGAAGAGGTGATAGTTTTTTCCTGCTTAGATATTTCCTGCAGGGCTTTGGTAGGGATCGATGCAGGTATCTGAAGGGCTCAGATGAGTAAAGATAATGATGTGTGTTAGAAAGTGTTAAGGCCTGGGGGGAATGACAGGACATTGATCCAGTACAGACCAGAGCAGACATCATGGACAGAAGCACACACTTATTAATACATCTCAGTGGTGGATGGGACTATTGATTAGCAGGAAAGTGGGGAGCACACGTGATTGGATCTATGATAGGTCCATGTGTGTCTGTGTGTATGTGAAAGAGGTGGATACAGTTCAAAACAGTCATCTGTCCCTGTAGTCAGATCAGATTCTTGCTGTGTGATGTTTATCATTGTCGATTAAATTATAAATTGAGTAATATACTGATTATTTTGACAAATAATGAGGTTGTTTTTTCAACAAAATTGACATAAAACCTTGACAAACAATGCGGGGCCTTTCAGGGTTGCTTTATTGGAAGAAGATGCACTAGGATCCCTTATAATCATATAATCATGAATGTGCAGTTTATCTGATTACAGCATTACAGTAATGCCATGGGATTTGCAATGCTAGCACCAAGCTAACTTGTGTTACAGTACAAAAATCTCCCTTGGAATATCTTTGGAGGAGCCTGTTGGTCTGAAATCTGTTAGCCAGCTAGTCAGTTTAGGACTAGACATTAAACAAATCCACATATTTTAATTGGATATGTGTGGTATGACTTTGGGCCATTAACTTTATGCACACACTGTTTTTGACTGCAAATATGCATGCATTTGTGAGATCCTCTTAGTGTGGGTTAAATTTCTTCCCTTTCAATGATACAAGCAAATGCTACTTGGGAGTTAATTGTACCCCGTTGTGGAGAACATTTTGCATTGAGTGATAATAAGAATACCCTGTTTATTAGTGCCAACTTATCCTTGTCAGTTCACTGAGAAGGTAAATTTTAATGACCCAATGTTTGATAGTCTGCTGTAGACTGTCATTGTATTCAGTATTTCACAGATGAACTGAGCATGACTACAAAATTATGTTTGATTTTTACTTCTGCTCCTTGTTACACTGAGAAAAATAGAAATTATTGCCCTTGTAGGGTAGTTTTTCTGTTTGTTTATTATTTATCAGGAAAATGTCTTTGAGACCTGCAATATCATTTTTTCCCTTACCCCATTATCATTAAATGAAAGCACAGCATTATTTATAGCCTCTTCAGAACATCAAACTGTATTTCAGTGTATCTTGGCAGTGTATGTGTAGTCTTCCTTTGTGGTAGTAGCTTGTAATTAACAATGGATGAGATAACTTACTTAACGTAAAATCTCTCTCTCTCTTCCCTCTCCCAGGTGGTGCTACCCACTTTTATCCTGGAGAAGCGCTCACTGCTGGAAATGTACGCTAACTTCATGGCTCATCCAGATATGTTTCTGGCCATCACGGCTGGAGCTACGGCAGAGGAGCGCATTGTGCGGTTTGTGGAGTATTACTTGACAGCCTTCCATGAGGGCCGAAAAGGTGCCGTGGCCAAGAAGCCCTACAACCCCATCCTAGGGGAGAGCTTCCACTGCAGCTGGGATGTCCCGCGGGAGAAAGTGCGGCCCCTCAGGACTACCAGCTCTCCCTGCTCTGTGCCCCCTGCCTCGGCCAAACCCGGGGAATGCTGCCGTCTATGGTTCGTGGCAGAGCAAGTCTCACACCACCCGCCCGTCTCAGGATTCTACTGTGAGTGCAAGGAGCGTCGCATGTGCGTCAACACACACGTCTGGACCAAGAGCAAGTTCATGGGCATGTCTGTAGGAGTGTCAATGGTTGGAGAGGGTGAGTTTGATTTGATATGCTGGTATTCTCAAGATTTTAAATACTGATGTTCAAAGGTTTTTGTATGCAAGTGTTTTTGTGCTGGTATTCCTCAAATCTTGTATAGTGGCACCCATAAGATCTTATGTGCTGATATACCCAAGATTTTAAACTAGCATATACTGACATTTCCAAGTTTTTATACTAGCATTTATACACTGGCATCCTCAAGCTGTTACACTGGTATTCCTAAGATTTCATATACTGAAAATATCAAGATGAACCAAAGATTCTGTTTTGTGATAGATTTTCAGCAACTATAGAATTAGAGCCCAGGGCTACATTTTATATTTTTACAGTATTTTTCATAAAACCTTAATGGAGTGTCACCCCCACCCCCCCAGACTGTCCACATTTTTCTTTCTTTCATTTCTTTCTTTCTTAATATGTGGTTAAGTTGGAGCAAAATGTGGATCATCTAGGGGGCCCTAATGACCAGTTTGGGAAAAACTGCCCTAAAATTTAGCAACGCACAAAAAGCAATTAATAAAATTCCAATTGTGGTTATGAGCTGCTCTGAGACCATGTTTTCCTCCCTTGTTAGTCTGACTGCATTAGGCATGTAAGGTGCAGTAAGCAGAGCCCAGATAAGCAGATCTCTGTGTTTTCTTAATATCACTGTGATCTGTACATTGAGTAGTGATTCTAAATGTGGCTCCTTAAAAACAGCTAAAGCTTGACCCCTGAGGTGTGCTTTCTCAAGCACTCCTTTATCTTATCCTTTTAGCGGCATGTCTGAAGAACGTTTCGTTTTCAGATCAGCTGACTCTGAATGGACGGGTCTGTCCTCGGGGCATGTGACCGCTACTGCTCCACTCGCTATACATCTGTCTGTCAGTCACTTACACATTGGGAGCTTACTCCCTCTTTTTCTCTTCTTTTCTCTAACTCCCATCTTAGTTTCTCTGCATACCTCAATTCACATGCACTGTGACACATACACACAAACACACACGCACAATGCAGCAGCGTGAAAGTCCCTCTCCTCTCTTCCTGTCATGTTTCCAGCACTAGCAAGCACACAGGTGCTCAATGAAGTGGATGATGATGCAGGAAGCTGTGTCTGCATGCCAGCCTCAGCCAATTACAAGTTTGCTGTAATTAGGACAGCATTAATTACTTACAAGACAGATCGCGCTAATCCCCCTAGAGTACTGCACGCTATGCTAATGAGAAGGAGAGAGAGTTGATGGGGCTTTATGAGGATTTCAGTTGTAAATGCTTCATAATGATTCCATCCAGTATGCCGACGATACAAAAAAGCAGAGTAGCAGAATTGTGCATTGTGTTTTCTTTGTCTTTTTTTTAAGCTTCTTTTAATTCTTGTCTGTTATCTAATGGAACACATAAGACCAGTGCCAGCAGTGACTAGTTGCTTTACATGCTTTGCAATGGCCCAACAGCAGTGTTAGTTTTTGTAATATTTAAGATTTTCTGGAGTAATTGTGTCTTGTATTATCTCTCTCAGTCCTCTCTGACCTCACAACAATTTGATTATGGTTCTTTAGGAGTTCAACAATTAATGACATGTCAAACTTCTTAATTTGGTACAATTCAGAATTAGGGATGCACTGATATGTACTGTACATGAAAAGACTACAGAGACCACCTTTCATTTATTTAATTTCCAATCAAACAGCCATTAAGTACAAGTGTTCATGTTTTAGTGTCAAAAAAAGCAGAAAACATATTTAACCAAAAACTACACAGCCTCACAAACTACATGTAATACATTTTTTCAGTATTTACTGTGTTCACTCTTTGCCTTTATTATAGCTTCTATTCTTTTCAGGAGACTTCTTAAGTTTTTCATAGAAATCTGCAGGGATATTTTCCACACCTCCAAAGTTCAGTCTTAGAAGTTGGTTGCATTTTCTGCTTCCCAAGTAATCCCCAAAACATTCAGTGATGTTAAAGTCTAGAATCTGGGATGGTCAGTCTGTTGTTCTAAGAACAATCCATCGTCTATTACCTTTTCTCAGTAATGGCTTCTTAACGCATCCTTTCAGACTCATAGTGTTGAGGAAGGATGGACAACACTTGTGTTTTTTTTTTTTTAAGATCTAAAGCAAGACTGGAGCTTGACTTTCTCCTTTCTTTCAAAGATAACAGCTTTAAGTACTGTTTGTCTGTTGGGCAGTTTTGGTGGTCTTCCAGGTCTTGTTAGGATACCACAATTGTTAGGAGTTTTACTTTTTATCTTTCACTTGGAGCTCCAGTTTTGGAAACTCTGTTTTCCTTTGCACAGTACTGTACATTGCTACATTACAGTTGCTGATGCCAAACAAAAACATTTATAAAATGTTTTTTAAAATGTTACTAAATCTGCGGGCATTAGCATTATAGAGAAATGTTACATATATTTCTATATATGTAATGCAGTAAAAAAAAAAATGATCCACTCAGACTAGCACAACACACACTGACACACCACCACCACATCAGTGTTACTGCAGTGCTGAGAATGATCCACCACCCAAATAGTACCTGCTCTGTGAGGGTCCATGGGGGTCCTGACCACTGAAGAACAGGGTAAATGGAAGCTAACAAAGTATGCAGAGAAACAGATGGACTACAGTCTGTAATTGTAGAACTACAAAGTGCACCTATATAGCAAGTGGAGCTGATAAAATGGACAATGAGCATAGAAACAAGGAGGTGGTCATAATGTTATGCCTGATCGGTGTATGTATGTGCATGTGTATGTATATTGTGTATGTATATATATGGAAATGCTATTGAAATTGTCAGTATGCCCAGAAAAGCTTGTTGTGATATTATAACAATATCATACAGTCATATATGCCCTTGGATCATATAGAGAGACAAAGAGGGAACGACACCAATGTAGAAAATCTCTGAGCTTTGACAAATTCCCCATGTGGTCTGTGAAATATTTCTCAGTGTTGTGCATCAGTCAGACACCAGATCCTCATCAATTTCCAACAAACCACTGTGAACAAAAGCCATTTTCCTCATCCACACACATGTACAGCCGTCTTTGTCATTTCTCTTGTACTCTTTGCTGGTGGGAGTAGAGAAGTGCTGACCTCAGCAGCTAATCACATATGGCAGTGCCAGAGTGCCTGCAGGATGCCAGAGCCCTGTGGAGCAGAGGTGTGGGGGCAGGGAGGCATGCACTGCCCCCCTCCAGTGCTCCTGTCCTGGGGAAACAGATGTGCTGCTGTTAGACCTGGCCCAATGCCCAAAGCAGATTCTGTCACAAGACAGCTGTCCGTTATGTAAGCGAGGGAGAGGGCCAGGCCAGCATGGATATGCACAGCTGCCTACGGGCCACATGACGTCTGCATTCACCTCATTATTACATATAACAAAGACAGGAGCAGCAGTCCATTGCAGCTTTAATGCATCGTAATGGAGACACTTTGTACACCATGCACCAGTTTCCTAGACCCAGATTAGACCTAAGCCTAGACTACAGAGAACTTCCAATGCTGATTCACCATTGGCACAGCAATTAGCCCAACACTAGGCTTAAACCCGGTCCAGGAAACCAGCCTTATGTGTCTGAAGTTCATAGGCATCCAGTGTTTCTTCTGAAATCAAGGGTATTCGTAAGGAGTTTGTCCTCCTTTGCTGAAGTAACAGCCTTTTCTGGAAAGGCTTTACACTACATGTTGGAACATTGCTAGGAGGATTTGATTGCATCCAGCCACAAGAGCAGTAGTAAGGTCAGGTACTGATGTTGGATGATTAGTTCTGAATCACGAATGCCACTCCAACTCATCCCAAAGACACTACCATTCAAAGGCTTGGAATCACTTGTCATATTAATAATTGATATTCAATTATAACTGAAATGTAATTGTTGATTGAAATGGTAGTTTGTACACAAAATTATTTTGAGAACAACACGTTATGGTAAAAAATAGCAAATGTTATTAATAATAAACTAATTATGTGTTTATAGTCATATAGTTTCTTGCCATGACATTTTCTATGAACTGCTGTTTGATTGGCTAGATTTGGTCACCGTTTTCAAATATAAGGCAGTATGTTTGTTATTTTTATTTTAACTTCATTCTCAATGTTACAACTTTTGGTTATTATGGAGTCATTTACAGCTCCATCCATCAAACATTTCTTAGTTTTTGCATCTTCCTAGATATTGTTTGGAACCTGTAGAATATTAGCACCATGTAAGAATTGTTTTATGTATGTATCTGCAACAGCACTGGTTTTATATTATTTAAAACAGTGATTCCAAATATTTGAACGCTCATTCCAAACTTTTAAATAGTAGCGTATTCAATGGTGCTTGATCACTTCAGAGAAGGCAGTTTTGCAGTTCCAGAGGTTAATGGTGGGGGCTTCATACCCTTCTAGCCAACATATGACAGTGGTGACCTCAGGTTCATGTATGGCTACTTCAGAGCATCACATTCTATTGTCAGTGCTTTTCCATGGAAATAAACCATGTATGCAGTTGAACGTCTGTGTCAGCAATGAGTGCATCTTAAAGCAGCTAAATTCACTAATTTAAAGGGGTGTCTGGTTACTTTTGGATATATTGTGTATTTGTGGTTCTGCATCACTTGCCCCCAAAACCGACATGAACTGTTGCATCCCAAATGAATAAATCAGTCTAAACTAGGGCTGCAAAATAAAAAAAATAAAAGTTTTGCCATTATACTGCTACATGTTGAGACTGCTTTAATAAGTAATATGCTTTATAATATATTTGTATTGCAGTGGTCAAGAAATAATGTGACACAATAATGTTACATATTGCAGCCTTCTGTGATATACAGCTATATACAAAAGTTGTGGCACCCTAGTTGAAGTATGTGTATTATTTTCCTCCACAGAGAACACATTTAATGCACAATTAATGTTACTGCTGTTTGCTGAAATTAGCGTATGTGAAATATAAATAAGTAAATAAATTAAAAAACATAAAATATGACCTGTGCAAATTGTATGTCACATTTTATATAGTATTTGTTTATTTTTTCCAATATGTCAGCAAATAAATAGAAATTTGCAGAAAAAATACCATATTTGAGTTTATTCCCTGTAAAGTGTTAACTTGCTTTTTACAAAACATGTAATTTGACTGGGGGTGCTCAAGCATTTGCATACAACTATAAGTATTGCAAAGTTCACTATTGTGATAATGATTAGCAAAGCCATTTTGTGCAGCCATAATCTAAACTATGAAAACCTGACATGATGTCTAGAAAAAACATGACATAGCTGATGGGACTGTTATGGTGAAACACTTGGGAATTTTTCGATTAACATCTGGAGGATTTGTCAGTCAGGCTTTGTGAAGTGAAACAGCCCGTTGATGAGTAACTGAAGAGAAATACATTTGGTGTGTTTGCCAGGGGTGCTGCACCTGTTGGAGCATGATGAGCAGTATGTGTTCACGCTGCCCTGCGCCTACGCCCGCTCCATCCTCACCGTGCCTTGGGTGGAGCTGGGGGGGAAAGTCTCCATCTGCTGCGCCAAGAGTGGCTACTCAGCCACTGTCACCTTCCACACCAAACCCTTCTATGGAGGAAAGGTTCACAGGTGAGTGTGTGGTCATAGCTTAGAAACATTGAACAGTTCAGATCCCTCAGACTTGCTGAATTTACAGCTTAACATAAGCGAGTGTTGAGTAGCTGATAAATGTCATCATACAGTATGATTCCTCAATAGCATCATACATGCTGTTGGTATTAAAGGAAAAGTTAGTTGAAAAATCAGATTTATATTTTTCCTTAAATCTAGTCAGTCCACCAAGAACTGTTTGGTGTCTGAAGTTTGCTTCTTTAGTTTTATACCGGAGGCTAAAATATTTAATAAGTAATGGAAGCTTATAGCCCTCTAGTTAGCATAGTGCATATCTATAAAAATGGACAAAAGTACAGACAAAATTCCATTTTTAGATAACAGTCTGTCATACAGTGTCCCAAACCACATAAGCAAGCTTATTTGATAGACAGTTTGAGATCAGTGTGATGATTTAGGCATGCAGTTAGCACAGAGATAATTGGTCAGTATAAACTTCCATTATGTGTTGGCTATATTAGCAAAACCAAAGAACCAAACTTCACTATAAAAGTTTCAAAAGTTGGAATCGCAATTCAAAAGTTTTACAGTGACTCTTTCCAATAAAAAAAAAGTTGCAGATAAATGATTTTATTATGACGCTACTGCTGTACAACTTTATAGATTACATCAAATTTGTAGGAAGCTGTGAAAAACTAAGAAATGTTAGATGTGTCCAGAATGACGAACACAGCCGTACACGAGAAAGAAATTATAATAAAATTAACGTCTACAATGCCTTGTATTTGAACTGTGGCAATCAAATCTCAAGCAGATAACTCATCTATCTATTTGTTTGTAGTTCCCAGAAACTTGAATTAAACAAAACATCTTGAGATGCCTGCTCTAGTTTATAAGCTATAGTTTATTCAGCCCATACTATATAAAGTAGTATTAATAGTACTGATTATTATAACAGCAATTATTAATAAGACAAGTAATTCCAGACTTCTCAATGCTAGTATTGTCCTTGAAACCTGGGCTGCCCATTGTGTGGCCAACAGACATTCGATTTGGCCTGGCAGAAAGTTACCCTAACCCCACCCCCTCAGCCAATGAAAGAACAAACATTTTCATACTATAAATAAGTTATTAAATTCTCATTTTCTTCATAAAATTATTTTTTAAAGAACATTCTTCATTTTCTGTATTTTAAGTACAGTAACAGAATATAGTGGTGTTATGAAATGCATTTTTAAAACCTTGATTTGAAACCTACTGACTTTCTTTTCTTTGTAAATAGTAAAACAGACAAAAAATGCCTAAAATGTCACACTGCGTGTCACAGGGTGACAGCTGAGGTCAAGCACAACCCTACCAGCACCATTGTGTGTAAGGCCCAGGGGGAGTGGAACGGTACCCTGGAGTTCACCTACAGCAGTGGAGAAACCAAAGTGATTGACACGTCTAAACTGCCAGTCATTAAGAAGAAGATCCGCCCGCTGGAAAAACAGGGGCAGTATGAGTCAAGGTGAGAAAATGTAGAATATACAATAAAATCTAAACATAAAGAATATAAAAGCATTAACAAGTTAGAATGAGGTACAATAAAACTGATGATTATTTTGAGACCATGACGCAAAAGCAGTTTACATAAACATAAACTTATCTAGACTCTAAGTAGAAGTCAGAAGACATTCTATAAAAAAGCCCACTACCTTGCACAATAAGAAGTGCTGACAAATGTCATGTGTAGACAGACTATGGATTCATCTTATTTTGAGGGGAATGCATGTCTTGAAAGAATGAAAGGATGCAGGAACTGGAAAAGGGAGAGACGGGAGTTCTCATAGCACTGGGTGCTTCAGGGGAGCAGCATTGTATACTTTAATTAACACTGTTGCCCTCTTTATCCCCAGTCTCTTACGCAACGAGGGTACTCTTACACTACTCTGTCTCTCTAGAGCGCTCACATAATAACCCTAATGCTGCTTATTGCAGGGAGAGAGTCAGCCCCATAGCCGGGCAAATAAGCGGAGCAGAGGCACATCAGAGTGGTGTAAAGCTATCAGACTGGCATTAGCATTGCAGCCTAATGCAATCAAAAGAGGATACAGAGGCACTAAGCACTAAGCTGGTTTGTGCAGGGAGAGAGCAATTCAGAAAGGTCTGCTTTCCAGTCTCCACTCACACAAACAATCCCTGCCACAGCGCACAACAAAGAGCCGTGAGCTGAATGGAGCTGCTATAAATGCACAGGCTTTCTGTATTGATTAGTGCCCTGTGCACAAGGCTCTCTTTCAGAAGATGTACTCCTGTAATAAAGCTCTAAAGCCACAGGAGGCCGTGCATGACAGTGGTTTTTAGGTAACAGAATGACACAATGTCTAAATCTACATAAGCAAGTCTATTTGAGATACACTTTGAGGGAAGTGTGTGATGACTTAGGCATGCTACACAATACTAATAGCTCTATTGCAAAAGTAAAAAGTGAACTTCAGACTCAAAATATGTGTTGGTTGAGTAAAAACAAAAAGGGAGAAGTTGTGGAAACTTCATATTTTATTCATATTTTCATTCAGTAAAATGTTCAATTTCAATTCATATTTGATTTTTTTGTGTTCATCAAGGTGTGAGCTTCGGGTTTAAAAAAGACTAATAAAAATCAGCCAAAAAATCGGGCATTAGCCAATTTGGCTGTAGAGAAATTGGAATTGGCCATAAAAATTCAATACATTTTGAATAATTTATTATTTAACACAGTGGTTTTTAATATCTTGGTGTAATAATACAGGATTACAGTGTGCACTACAAAGATGGCTCAGCCAATTAGATTTTAGTATCAGAACCATTTGTTTTATGTTATTTTTTATTTATTTTGTGGTTGAAGTTTAAAAAAGTTTATCAGAACATATGCCAGGTGAACACGTGCTATATTCTTACTGTTACGTGTGGTGGGGACTGGCAGGCGGCTGTGGCAGCACGTGACTGCGGCGCTGAAGGCGGGAGACATTGATTCGGCCACAGAGCATAAGCACCAGCTGGAGGAGAGGCAGCGCAGCGAGGAGAAACAAAGATCTGCCACGAATACTCCCTGGAAACCCAAGTACTTCATCAAAGAGGTGAGACATCGTGGCACCATTTGAAAACACTCTTGCAAAATCCTCTCACTTCATCTTCCCTGCTGCATGTGGGCTGAGACCCAGAGGGGTGAATAGATTATAGCAAAAGAGTAGCGGCTCTATCAAGGTTTCTTTTTCTTTCCACCTACTCACTTTGTTAGACAGAGTGATAATAATAGTGAGAAGCCAAGGAGAGGAAGCAGACAAGTCAAGGAGCACTATAAATTTCTCCATGTCTCTCAGTGGAACTTTTGTACAGCCATTAGTTTAACAATACACATCTCATATCCAAACAAATTCCCAAGTTTCCACTGTTAGCAAATTGCGTACTTTGCATTAAGAACTACGCTCGTAATATTCAGGGTAAATCCACAAAATACATGTGCTTTTTCCCCTAGCAAAGACACACACATACACATTTTCTAAGCCACTTCTCATCCTGGGTCGTGGGGGGGGTTGCTGGAGCCAATCCCAGCGCTCATTGGCTGGAAGGTAGGAAACACACTGGATAGGTTGCCAGTCCTTAACAAGGCCCCTAGCAAAATATGAATAATTAATATTCCAAAAACTCTTGTTTTTGCAGGGAGAAGGCTGGGTGTACCACAATCCTCTGTGGAAGACAACTTGTTGAGGAAACCGAGCCATAAGCTAGCTGTCCATCACAGAGGCCAGCCCACAGAGAGGTGGAGCCATGGGGGAAGAGCGCTGGCCAGCCAATGGAACAAGAGGAGCCGGACTGCACCGGAGCAGAGGCTGACCATTTCTCTGACATCTCCTAGAGAGTTAAAGGTGCCAAAAACAAATAATTATCAAACCCAAGAGTGGAGTTACCCACCCCAGCAGCTACCCAAAGACCCGAGAGTGGAGTAACCCAGCTCTGCAGCTACCAAAAGACCTGCCGCCCCGACAGGTGCTCAAGGATATTCTTCCTTCCTTACTTCTGGAAGAATTCACATGTGGAGGCCAGACGTTACATTGGGAAACAACTTCACATTCTTACTTTTCTTCTAAATTTAGGTTTTCTCAGTCACATATGCTTCCTGGTATATCAGGGTTTGGTTTCCTAAAATTTGTAGCACAGTGGACACCCAGAGGGGCTTCTGGAAAAAACCCAGTCCTGATCAGCTGCTTCAAATGAGGCAAAATGCTACTGGTACGCACAACTGCTTATAAGACTGAAAGAGAGAGCAGAGGAGTGTATCACCAAATCACCAAGTGTGACACAAACGTCTGATACAAGTGGTTATCAAAGTAAATGGACCTCTTAGCTTAACAGTGATTGATGCTTATACAGTCAGACATTGAGAAAGGGAAGTGCTCTCATAAGGCTCGCACAGTAACTGCACATTCCGATCCTGAGAACTTGGAAAGTATCAGAGAGGTTCCCAGATTTCATTCACTGTAACATCCGATTCCTTAATGAACTCAGCCTATGTGACGTTTGCCTCAGCTGATATCAAGGAGCCAAGAAAAACAGAGCGATTATACTTTTGTAATGGTTTCTTTGCCTGAACAGTGAAAAGTATTATAAAAGAAGAGTCTATACTTGTCTGAAGCATAGCTTCTCCACCAGGGAGAGATGGGAAAGTGAGCTCAAGCTCAAGTGGAAACAAACTGTTAACACTTTACTGAAGGGCAGCGTTCATAAGCCTCTCATGGCAACTGACATTAACTTATATAGAAACTTATAAAGGTTATAGGTTAACAAGCACCAGTTGTCATATCACTTGCTGAGATGAAATGACGTCAGAATGGACAAAAGCAGCCTTTATGACAACTGAGACTTGTTGGAATAAGCTTTTTTAGATCTTTATGTAGGTTTAGGTCAGTTGTCTTTTAGCCTTAGAAAGGCTGTGCTTCAGTGAAGAGTTACCAGTGAGTTGCGTCTAATAGATTTTAAAGCTCTGTGCAAAATCATTCCCACAGATCAGGGACGTCAGTGTAGCTGCATGCATTTCTGTCCCACTTGTTAGAATGGCCTCTAACATGCATTTTAAGTAAATTCTTGACTGATTCCCAAGAGAATTGTTTTTTCCTAAGTGTTCTCCAGCTAGCCACTGCACATTTTACTACATGCTCACTGTGTGTTTTGTTTTGTTTTTTTTGGTAAACGGATATGAACATTCCTCTCAACTCTTTCTTGGTGCAGTATATGCTCATCATTGAGGGAGGGACACTTCTGAAGTAAAGCAATGGATTGTGGTCTTTGGAGGCAAGCTGCCAACTTGTGATCTTTCACATTACTTTATTTAAAAGAGCTACCTGGACGAGTCTTATAAAATTGCAAAGCTTAGTCTAAATATCGTTATACTGATATTGCTATTTTTTCACTCAACTCTGCTTCTATTGTGACGCACAACTAACTCAAATGTCCATAAACGGAAATGAACTTAACTAATTTGAGTGTTTTAGTTTTCACCTTGGAGTATAAAAATCTCATGAGTGCACCAGGGTCTGACTGCCTCTGATATCAGGGCTTAGATCTCAGACATGCTCTATGGATGTAAGAGACCAAACCTTTAATTAGTGTCTCACTTTAGGTCAGTATCTTACCACACTTACCAGTGTTCTCTGTATAGATTGTAAGCTAACCAGAAGACATGACCTAGCAGTCATATTTAGAGTTGATGTGAGAGGGAAAAGAGGCATTTTCAGGCCTTATGTGAATGAAGAAGCACTTTTGCACGTTGTTTGGATGAGGTGCATGTAGCGTTGGAGCACATTCTATAGATGGTTCAGGTGTGGGTGATGAAGTGATGTACAGCATCGTAATGTATTCAGAGCTTAGACCAAACACTTTGTCCACCAGTGTAAAAAAGACTATGCAACACAGTAATTTCACTGTACACAATGAGGGAGATGACCCTCCCACACTACAGCATGTGTTGGTTAAATAAAGAAATCCGTCAAATATTGTATACTTTCCAGCCACTAGTGAATATACCCGGCTGATATATTGGGGGTAATCACTTGGAAATAGAATATAATGTATGCCTGAACAATTGAGCCAAGGTTGATTATCCTTTACTGGAAAATCAGTGTGGATTGCTTTTGTAGCAGTAAATGCAACTGTGTAGTATTTTATGAATTTAAAAAGCTGGGAGAAACAGTTGACCAATGTCACTAAGTGACTGTGTAGATTTATGCCTACCGTTTATAAAATGCTGCACAAATAAACAAATGTCTGTGACTTACAATTTCACTTAAACATAGTAAATATAGCAAGCAAATTAAGCTCTTGAGCTTTCCAATAGTTTTATGGCAGAAATTACATCAGAAACAAACTGGGTCTAAACTTGTGCTGCCACCTAGAGGACAGGCTTACTTGTAATAAAACACTTATTCCTTATATTAAAATAAATAAATTTCCATCTTAATTTTGTAGCAGAACAATCAAGACAGATGTAAGGTACAGGAAATAATTTTCCATCAATGTTAGAAGTCTTTCCTTTCTGCAGTGGGCTCTAAACTCTCTACTGGAAAGATGATATGGTGGAGCGAGAATTTAACTTAAAACACGTTTATCATTTTATTATAATGAAACTGCTGTGTGTCTTTAAAATGGCCAGATTGCTGGACTGGGGGAAAAACAGATGAGAAGTTAAAAAACAAAACAAAGTGCAAACATGGTCCGCAGATAAGGCAGAACCTTTCGTTTACTCCTTTAATCACAAAGGCATCGCTCATTCTAACAGTAGCATCCTTTCTTACTTTCCTTATAAACTTTTTACAATTCATGAAAGAAACTCCAATTTAAACAACAGACAGGTTTTTCATTTCTTGATGACATGCTGCCCTTTTTTAAACTTCCATTTTGTTCTTATAAATAAATACCTTTAGAGTTCGTTACGTATGAAACAGATATGATGTTAGGCTGTTAGAATGAGTCAGCATAGTCCTCAGAAATTACTATAACCTTCCTCCCAATCACACAGAGATGAAGCAAAAGCAGTGCACTGAAGAAAGAAAAAACCAAAGAAAGAAAAAAAACATGGAGCAAGAGACCAAACCAAGATCTGAAGTGTGTGAACTGTCCACTAGTAGTGGAAGAAAGAAGAAATTAAACCGATGGTGAGGGAGAGGCAGATTTGTCACTCTAAACAGCAGAACAGAAAACTTGTCACTAAGTATACGCACTCTTCACCCGCATGCTACTCAGTAGTGGATCCACCTGAAGGTGAACTAAGCCAAAGTGCATTCAGGCTAGTAATGCAGCATTTTATAAAACCCTACAACTAACACAAGTCACACTTGCTCCTGTCAGGCAAAGTGAGACAGTCATTAGGAAAAAAAAAAACGGGGAGAAACAGATTCCTACAAGGCCCAACATATCAGACAAAGTGGGGGAGAACATCCTTTATCCAACAGTCTATCTACAGCATTCACTACACCTGGGGCACTGCTGAAACCAAGCAGCAGGACCACTGGACAAGAGATAGGAGAGAAAGAAAAAAACAAAACAAAAAAAAAACAAAAAAAGTATTTCCGTTTGAGAATTATTGCATAAACATCTGATAACCAATACAAAAAAGAAACAAAAATTCTATATTTAAAATCACCACAATAATTAAACACATTACTAATAATTCAGTCCTTTGCAATGCCTGCTGTGTTCAGATATTCACACATTCAAAGTGACAGTGACCTCACTGCATTCTGAGAAATAGGCAGGAGGGTTTTTGGCCCTCAGTACTGCAGACCACTCCATAGCCCTCGTACTCCATAGCTTTTATTTTTATTTTTTATCAAAAAAGTAACAAGTTAGCACAGGCTCTGAAAAAAACGAAACAAAACAAAACAACGGGATCTCTTTGGTGCTACTGCTCCAAGGTTCACTCAGCTTAATCACTTCATCTTATATTACCGTTGTGGTGAAATTAGGTCAGACTGCACCACAAAAACAGGGTTGCCATCTCAATGTATAGGACAGCTCAATTTCCTTACCAACACATTCAAGTACAAAAGAAAAAACAAAACAAAACAAAAAAAAATGTCCAGAATCATCAGATTAAAACCAACAAGAGATCCCTGTCCAGGCCTTCTCCTCCAACCCCCTCAGTCAGATCACACAGCCTCCATGTCGTCATGGCAGTCACAGCATCAAAGCCTCCAATCAAATACTTTCAGGTGGTCGGATGCCAGACGACTTGTTTGCTCTTCTTCTTGATTGGTGGATTACTGGTTGCATTTGTCATTGTCTTTTTTTGCCTCATTTGCCATTTTCACTTTTTTACCGTTTAACAACTAAACTGACTTCTTGTTCAGTTTCTTGCCTTTTTTCAGCACTAATTTGTTTTTAACGTATCCACGCTTCCTCTTGGCCGTCTACAGATTAGAGAAAGAAAGAAGGCAACACACAATTAAAACACCGAAGTGTAGAACAAAGTATTTGTTTTAAATTTAAACTAAAAAAAAATTGTGAATATTTTAATTGCTATCATATGACATATGATAAAGTAGTAGTTTAAGCAAGGCACACCTTTTTTGAGGTGTACTTCTGTTTGGCTGCGACATTGCGGAGCTTGTGGTCCAGAGCCTGCCGGTTCTCCTGCTTCTTCACTCTGTAGATGCGCACCAGCCAGTGCTCAGAGGTAAACGCCTCTTCCAGGTGCTTCAGGCGAATGTCCTTGTTGCCAATCTCTGCGTTCCGTGTCCGGTCAAACCCGGGTGGGGTGCGGAAATCCAGCTGCAGAAGAGACACGGCATATTGGTGAGAGGAGTAATCAACATGGATAAGATAAAAAAAAAAACAAAACCGGACTACACGCCTGTATTGAGAGAGAGGAGAAAACATTATAAAGAGGAGAAGATAGGCACCTGCATCTCCCCGAAGCGGTAGTAAGACATCTTGTACATGAGGCAGTTGAGCAGGGTAGGAGAGCCAGCCTTGTCTACTCTAAACTCTCCCTGAGGAGTAAAGTAGTCACTCTCCTGAACAAAACACAAAAACACCTCTGTCAGGGGGCAGCACAATAAATTCGTTTATAAACCTGAAATGATGTGAACAGGCTTATAATGGTGATGTTTAAACACAGCACAACTAACTCACTGATGGCTGAAATGCAAACATGCAAGCCTACCCGGATGTCTTTAGGATGCTCTCCCTCTGCAATGCGCACCATCCATAGGAACTTGTTAATGTCATCTCCTGAGTACCCAATCACTCCCCCAAAAATGATGAGCACATAATCCACATCCAGAGATTTCATAATCTCATATGCTGCACTCTCATTGGAGGACATTGCCTTGCCCACCTGCATGGTAAACAGACAGTAACAATGAGCACTGCTATCCACAAGATGGCACTACTGAGGCATGCCTGAGATCATGAGACTTGCTATAGCTGAGGTAATGCTATAAAATAGTAATTTCCTTGACTTATGAATCATGAAACTGTCTTTTTCTGTGGCATTTAACTTCATCTATGGAATATTAGCTTTACCAAACAGTTGTGCAAAATCTTCCCAATTATTCAACTGTATTTTCCTGCTGCACCAGCAGGTGTCAGAACTCAACGGAATATTTGGGGAGTCATTTCTTTCATGAGAAATTATTATTAACTTGGAAATCAAAGTGTACAACATATTGAAATATCACTATGAATTTCTGAAACCATCTGTTTTACCATTCGGTCTCAATGAATTGTTACACAAAAACACACATGGTGGTTCTATGTTTGACCAGTGATGTAAGTGATGGCTCTTCTCACCAGTGCTATATGACTGTTGTTCCAGGTGTTGTTGTCCACTAGTGTAGTTCTGTTGGCCATGCCTGCTATCTGATAGCCATAGTCCCACCAAGACATGACCCGCGCATGCTCATCTGTATTCTGCCTCAGCCAGTAATACGCCTCACGGAAATCATCCAGAATGTTCCTTGATCTGATTGAGAAAAGAAAGAAGAGTCATCAGCAGAGCTTGCAAGTGCACGAGTCCTCCTGCTCATATTTGTGTGTACCCTGAGTGTTCGTGAGACTAAGGAGTATATGCAGGTGAGACAGTGCATCTTCTTACCCATCGTGGTTATACGATGCCAGCACTACACTGGGGCTGGAGTAGGCGTTGCTGGTGACCCAGGTGCAGTGCACAGCAAACATCATCAGTAACATTAGCATTAACATGGTCACAATGCTCTTAATATTGGGCCCAAGTCCTTCCTCTGGTCGGTCTTGCTCTGACACATGCTTACGCACTTTTCCTGCCTGCAGTAAGCACACACAAACACAGCACGTCATGCCTGCAAAAAACCAAATCACATGGAAAAGGATGCCTGCAAATAGGCGTGCATGAGGAGTTTCAGTCCAAAATGCTTTATATCCACAGATAACAATTTTGGATATAACTAGTTTTTGAAAAGAACAGCTCACATAATGGAAAACATTTTTCATTTCTCTATAATTAAGCTGGTATTGTTCAAAATATAGCAGTGATTTCTCTTGAAAGTGGTCTTTAATGCATTTTGTTAAATACTCTTCAATTACAACCAAAAACCTGTCCCCATTTTTGTTTTCACAATAGATTATACATATATTAACACGCACATAATTACACTATGATGGACAGAGTGAAAATGTCAGTGTGTGTAAGTTTTTCTGCAGAGGGCACTAGAATGACACTTTGTGACAAATATTCAGTCATGGTATAGCAAGAGGGTACTCGAGCTAGCATCTTTAAAGTTCAAACGCACTATACTTCAAGCATGAACTACAGAATGAACTGTTTTTAAAACGTAAAAAAGTTTAATTAATTAATTATTATTGTTGGCCACAACAAGGCAGAAAATACTGGTTATCATTACCAGTCCAGAAATTTTATATTCTTGCTTGAAAATAGGCTGAGGTCTAACGTGGGATGTGATCTGTGTAATGGGCACCCCATGATCCTTGACTTATTACCTTGTCATAGAGATTTCCTGAGTTCCTCTTGTCATCCTCATCACTGCTGTCCTCAGCCGGCGGGTTCTCTCGCTTCATGTCGTCTCCCAGGTAGTGCTCAAACACACTGGAGAAAGCGATGGCTGAGAGCATGCACACTACTGGGGTCAAGGTCAGCATGAGACGCACCATCACGCCCGCAAAGTACACCGCGCTGATGGCATAGAGTGCCACTAGAGGGCAGCAGAGAACAAAACAGTCAGAGTTCCAAATGGTGAGATTAGCTTGACGTGCAGCATGACTGCTCTGATCCCACTGACAAACAATATAAGTTATGAATTTGATGTTATGATCAACTGTAGTCCTTAATACAGACAACCTGGATATTGCATCATTATTTAGCACAAAGTTACAGCAGAATTACAGGATTAAAGACCTGCTAGAATCCTAATTAAAACTTTTGCAGAGGCTGAGTGCCCTCTTTAGCTTGCATTAGATTTTCAGACAGCCATCAGGACACAGTATGCTTTAGGGTCAAAACAGTAGACAGGGCTGAAACTGCTTTTACTGTGTTCTCTCCTGTGCCCTGTCTGCTGATGCAATAGCCTGTAAGTGAAGGGTCTGAATAAAAACAGGTAAACAGACTGGATCAATATGGTCAGTGCAGACTGCACAAACTTTATGCTGTGTTTTTGAGTGTCTTCTGTCAAACTGTCACCAATATGGAGTTTGGTCTGCAGAAAGACACCGCAGGGTATATAGCACCAGTTATACTGCTGGACCACTTGCTCAAAAGAGAACAGAGGTTGAGGAAGATGTGTAGAGCTCTCACCAAAAACCCGTTCATCATTGATGTTCTTGATGCAGAACCAGAGTCCTGCAGGGAAAGTGCACACTAGGATGTGAAGGTCAAAGAAGAAGGAGACCCAGGTGGTGGGCTGGTGTTCTGATACAGAGGCGATGATGGGAATGTGGATCTTGGCATACCTGAAGCATACAGAGTCAGGGAGATTTGGCTTACATAAATTTTCAGTATACACGGTTTAAGGGTAGAGTAAGCTAACCCTAGTCCTGAAGGCCTCTTTATATATATTTCTCAAAATCCTCAGGGAGAGGAGTGGAAACTTGGCTTAAAGAGCCAAGCTAACTTGTGCAACAATAGGTTTTTTGGACAAGCTAAACAGTGTGTCTAATAGAGAGGAGGGGAAAACTGTTATTGCTGTGTCCAAACTTGACCAGTTCTGTTCTCTCTTACTGGTTCATACCATGTCCATCGGTTAGCAGATGTGAACCAGCAGACCTAATAATGCTGTTTTCAGTTTGGGCAAGCATCATTCTGATCATTATCTCCTGGCATGACCTTCTCTCTTTCTTCCCTGACTGCAGTGCAGAAGGCTGATTCTGCACTGTGAGGTTTCGACAGTGCTGCCCATACCTTCCTCACTCCTGCAGAGACTGCTGCATAGGGAAGCTACACGTTCATGAATTTATGACAGCTGGAACATTTCCAGGGCAAAAAGGACAAATTCAGCCAGACAAATATTATTCTGGGTTTTGCATGCCATGGATTTCATGCATGTCATATTGGAATAACCAGTAATGACATGAAAACTAGTGGTAGTTCACATGGATCAAGCTCTAAAGGATGTGGTAGTGAACTGACGGCACTGCTATGTAGTCATGTAGAATTCATCAATACAGAGTCTGATCTGGCTGATAGTAACACGGTACTTCAATAATACTGTGATATGGAGTCAAAACTTGTATGCTATTCTGTGAAATGAAGACAACAAGAGACCTTGTGTCAAACTAGTTAAAACCACTGACAAAACTTAGAGCTAAGAACCAGTAGCTGGTACACAGCACTTGACAATGTACTAAGACTGTAAAATATATTGCTTGATAATCACAATATTGGCCTTCGTATTACTGATACAGCAGAAGGCTGTAGTATGCAAATGAAACTAGTCCCAAATGTTTCCCGGTATGCTGTGAGTGAGCAGTGGGTGGCATGGCTTGAAATTTACCTTATAGCTTAAAAATAGCTAGCAAATGTAAAACTCTATAAATTAAATCTATACAAGTAGACTGTAAAATGAAAAACTCATTTATCAAAATGCATCTTATGTAGTACAGCAGCACTCTGCACTGCCTGCAATGCAACACTCCACAGTACTTCTCATCCAGTGTGAGGTAGCAGCTTTTAGACGGATACAGTAGTCTTTCAATGTTACATTCTGTGAAATAAAAAGAGCCCCATTTCCAAAACACTTTGTAGTATTAAAAATCATTTTGCCTGGTAAAGACAGCATTTAATCACTCTTGCATTTAGCTTTAGTATTATACAAACCCAGCCTACCTTGGAAACTCTGACCAAACTGTAAGACAAAGACTCTACATTGCCCTCTGGTGGAATACAGAGTTCGGACACCTCAAGACTCAAATATGAGATTTACTGTTAGAGAGAAGCTAAATTGTTTATTAAAGCTAATTTAGTATTCAATTTTAGACCATCAAGACTATGAGTATTCAAAAAATCCCTAAACCAGATCAGTTATGATGAACCAAGATGATCACATAATCCAACAAATGGGGGAAAAAAAAACAAAGAAAGAAAGAAAAAGGGTCCGAACAGCCCATCACTATCCATGTTACATAAAAGATTCATCAATGTGTTAATTTTTTGTAAGATATCACAATATGGAATTGTAGCCTCTAAAGCATAAACTGAGAACAAGTGCAGGAAAAACTCTGCAGTGTCAACTTACCCGGTGTCCCACAGTGAATAAAACCGGCCACTCCAAGGTGCAATGTAGCCTAAAATGACAAAATACACAACAGGAAGATAAACTTACAATACACTTACAAACAACAAACAGAGCACCACAAACTCATTGGCAGTGTCTAAGAGGCTGAAGAGCTTGGACTCCTTCCAACAGGCTAATACCGTGCCTATATCCAGCGCTCTTTCAATTAATTTCCACCGCGAGGCTGCGATCAGTGTAAACGCAACACGGAGAAAAGAAAGGACGGCCCTAATGAGATCTCGGAGGCTTGTTGCAGGGATGGTGTGATTAATGAATGGCTGCTCAGGTTGGGGAACAGAAGGACTAGGAATACACCAGGAAGAGCAATGCTGAGAGAACAGGATCAAACAGTCTCTCTGTATCTAGGTTAAGAATGACTGGCTTGATCTGAGAGGATGAAGTACATTCTATGCATAAAACGTGTGAAGCTATGCTGGATTTATCAAGCAGGGGAGAAAAGTATAGGGAAGGCATGTGCTGTGCTAGGCTATGCTGCTGTGTTGCCACAGTTGCTGCAGTCTCACCTGTGTAGGTCAGATAAATGACTGTAAGGAAGACCACCCCAGCAGCCAGAGACACGCCAAGGAAGAAAAGGGTCTGGAACTCCTGCTTCGTCAGCCTGTCCTTGAGATACTGCAAGAAGGCATAGGCCTGCAGCAGCGCAAATACACCTGCAGAGACAAGTGCACACCCATGGTTTAGTAACTTCACATGTAATCAAGAACTGTTGGTTGTTCCATTCTGCTGATCTTGCATGTATTTTTCCCCTCTCTATAAAACTTGGCCAACAGTGTGGAAGGGCAACTTCTAGTAGTCTAGCAGAAGCTTTATAGAGAACCCCGTCTTACCTGCTGCAGCCATGTGCTCACTTGTCCTTATAGGCTGGAAGCCCACAAATGGGATCTGCATGGATAACACTAAGCCCACTATATAAAATGTGCTGTATGCTGAAAGAGAGACAAAAAAAGCATAAGGTTATATACACAAACGTACCAGAACATGTTACAGCTTTAATCAGGCCTGAGATTCTGGTCTGAACCCAACTATAGCCTGAGAACTTCCTTTCAGAGTTTGACTCAATTCAAACCACATTAAGTTTTGAGTCCAAATCTAAGCCTTTGGTCCAAAACTGACCCGAACTTACTCATCATGACCCAAGGTCAAAATAAAATTAATGATAGCGCCAGTTAAATTACCATGTACCGTGAAAAACGGATTATTAAATTAAATCTAATTAAAAATGTTACATATTATGCTATTGTGATCTGGATATGCCAACGTTACGACTGCTTTCATTCACAGACCTTTTTCCAGCTGGTGTATTTATAGCTATTGTTCTGAGTACTCGAAGCCAATGCACCGAAAAAGAAAGTTTATTGCTATTAACTCAACCACTGACTGGCATATTTAACCAGAGAGGATTTGAACGATTTTTGATTAAATTCAGGCACTGTTCAGAACAAGCCTAGACAACAATTGCGGGTCATTAGACATTGTGAAATGACAAATTCCCTCTTGCTATTTTTGTACATAAAACATAAAACATACAACTATATGTTTGGCCAAAGAAATTAAATATTTGGCTGTACTAAACTGTACGCTCCTGAATCAATTCACATTTTATTTACCTCGCACATATTCTCCCTGTGAGTCTGGGACTTGTGGATCTCTGTGCTAAATTCTGTCAACAACACGAGTGAGTGATTCCAGAATGCCAAAAAACTAAAGCAGAGGGAAATGCAGGGCAAAATCTGCACAAATTAAAACGCAGGCTCCAAGAACCCAAACGTGAAATTTTAACCCGACCCAAGCTCGACAGTGGTTGAGAAATGATGTCTGAACCAAGCATGAGCAGTGGGGTCTCATGGAGTTTCGGGTGAATTTTTCAAGCTCTAGAACTTGTACACATACAAAATTGCAGAACATCTCTGTGACTCACTGACTGGTGAAGCAAGGTTATTCATCCCATTCCAATTTAGTGCTTGATCTCCATTTCAGTGTAGGATAGGAGAAGGAAGTAGCAGTGAGTGGAGCAAATGAGAGTGAGCCAAGCAGGCCCTGTGCAGGGAGGCAGGGCCTAAGCAAACTCTGAATCATCTATAAACTGAGCTGCACTGCTCCCATCAGAGCCAGGGCTCAGGAAGAGAGAGGAAAACCACAATATCAGACTCAAATGCAAATCTGTCTTACAGTCTCCAGAATTATGTATGCAAATGTTCAGATGCGTTGATCCTATTTGGAGAGGGTCACAAACTACACTTCAGTCATTATGCCAGCATGTGTGACAGCTTAAGCAGCCAAAACTTCAATCACCCATAACTCTCAACCCAATCATACCGTTAAGAGTGAAAAGATGTGTCAGAATTAAGTGAATATGAATAATTTGCAGAGAGGCAAACTTAAAAAAAAAGTACTTTACATAAGAGTTCTCCAGATTACTTTAGGTGGTCAATGCATAGTGTAACAATTCTAAGCTCCATATTTAATTTGTGAGAGAATAAAGGCCTGATGAAAAGAAGAAGGAAAACTGTCCATCCATCAATGCCAAATTAAAAGTCTAAGCCATATTTTCTAATTTTTTTTGGCTAAACTGACTGGTCACCATCATCATAATGATGCAAAACAGAACCAGGGTTTCAATGTCACAATGGTAAATCAATCACAAAGCAACTGAAAAACAGATGTTGCATTTGACTGACAGTTCGAGTCAGCCTGACTGTTCAAGCTGGATTCCTGCCAGAGACAGGTGGTGACTGTTTAGGCATCCATCAGCAATGAGGTACAAAAGTAAGCATGGCATGTGTGTACACAAGTGTGAGGGAGCAAGACAGTGATAAAGCTGTGTTGGGTTTGGGGGGACGCGGGGGTGATTGGAAGGGGATGGGTGATTGAGCAGAGCTTTGGCTGCCCCAGCTGTCAGCGTTTGATTTGAATCCATTAAAGCTAAACGAGACCACCTTCATCCCCACAGCTGCTACACTTACAGGAATTATACAAGCTTTTCTCTACCTCCCCATAGCCACTGATATACAACCACATCAAAGCTCTTAGCTGTAACTTCCCAACATCGAGACAATAGCTATAGTGCTATCCGGAGCCAGCATCAAGCAAGGAGAGGTGAAAGAGAAGCCTCTCATTCCCTTAGTGTTGTCTTTCTCTGTCTGAATATGAAAAGCACATCAGTGACTGCCTCAAAAAGCAGGGTTGGAAAATACACACACACACACAAAATATATACATATTTCTAATGGGCAATTACAGTGACATCTAAGGGCAGTTTACAAATACACAAGGGCATACACAAATCTTCATAAAATCTTCAAAAGTAGTTATTTTATATTACGTTAACAGAATACTAATTAGCAACTAAATTGCAGTGTAAAGACTTGATATCCTGTCTAATTTCTTTGAAAAGAAATGCAGAATTGGTGGCAGTAAATGCTCTTGAATTGAGAGGATGCCATGTGCAGCAGCTTCTTGTATACTGAGTTTTAGATGAGTTTTCAGGTATGCCATTTTATCTATAAATCAGCAATTCTCAAACCATTCCTCAGCGTCCCCAGACTGTGGACATTTCTGCTGTATTCCTATACGGGATAGATTAAGGAGCAACAATGTGTACCCACGAGGGGCCCTGGGGACCGGTTAGAGAACCACTGCTATAAATGAACATGCTTATGCAGTCAAGATTGTAGGCACTGAGCAACATGTTTTATAAGAGTGATTGTGACACTTGTTCACAATGATTTATTACATTCAGGAAGTCAATATTTTGGGGGTATTTATTTACCACCATACTTATGTTGTAAGGAGCAAAGGCACTGGAGGCACTGATACCTGTTTTCCTCTGGTTTATTTCTGATACTGTCCAAAAGCAAGAGTTAACATAAGAAACTTTATAAAATCACCCCAGATCTCAGAGCCGCTGAGATGCTCTTTAATGTAATCGGTATAATTTATTAGCAAGCTGAACAGCGGAGCTGTGTGACTGATGCTCCATGGAGAGCCAGATGTAGCACCTGTGCTGTGGGACACAGCGTTTTGGAGCGGTTCTGGATAGAGCTAATGCCCAGCATCCATCACAGGGCCCATTTCCGGCTGCAGCAGCTGGGCCAGCGCTCCAAGGAGCCCTGAGGAAAGGGCTAATAAAAGTCTTAACAGAATTAGCAGCATGGAGCACCAGGGTCCTGCTCCTCCATCAGAAAACTGCTGCAGGGCCCACACACACAACCTTCAATTATTCACTTACCTCAAACCCATGCAATCCATCATAAAACAAGACAGCCCTAAAAATGACATTTGCTCTTCAAAAAATTTTCCGCAGCTCCACTGTTGGGAAGGTTAATGTCAAAGCTGAAAGCTGCATTGTTATTCATGCTAGCACAAGACTTAATTGAGGCAGTTAGGATGTGTTCTGCTGGTAAAAGACTCTGTAAGAATGTGGATTAGAGAGCTTTGTTTTCCACATGAAAGCTGGAGCAGGCCTCAGATCAGGTAGAGTTTATCTGATTGGTTGTGAGAGGCAGAGAAGAGTAGGTGGAATAAATTTGCCATTAAAGAGCACCATCTCCACTAAATGTGGCTGTCCCTGCTGGGCAGCACCCCGTAAAACACAAAACGCTGCAGAGAATGCATGGCAAGCAACAAGAAGCCCTGCTCTCTGTATTCACAGGTGTACTTGTGCAAATGGGTGTTTGCGTGAAATCAAATAAAAAGAGCGAGGCAAGACTGAAGATCAAAACCAGTGTTTGTGTGAGGTGCGAGTAGGTTGTGGTGTCTGTGCCTCATAAAGGACAAACACAAACACACATGCACTCATAGCTGACGTTGACTCACCAATATACAGCCTCCTGCTGTAACGCTGCATGAGGAGCAGCACAAACACATGCAGAGGGATCAGGTTGATGATGAAGACATAGCCTCCCCATGCAGACACCTGTAACACACACAAACACAAAGCCAATGATTCAGTCAAAGGAAAGCATTTATAGGCCGTTTGGGTTGTTCTCTGCTTGCTGACAGTTCTCCAAGCTGAGTAGGTGTCAAAGCCCATTCGGGAAATGAAGGCTCAGCTTGTTATTCTGTCACAAACATGTTTAGAAAGTTAGAGACAAAAGGAGGACTGGGGTAGAACTGCAGGATACCATTATTAATGAGCACTGCCTGTCCCCAGAAGAAAGGCTCTTAGGGCTCACACGACTCTTGTTCATTAATGCCACCGGTCGGTGTTGCCCTCCTGAGTCCTGCGTGATGGATGGCGCCGTTTGCTCATTTATTTACTTTACGTATTTTCTTAATGAGATCAGAGAGGGAGAACACACGCACATCCACCACCTGAGCAATGAGACAATTATGAGCTACAACACCCAGCTCACTATCATGTAATGCTGAAAATCCCCAAACACATGCTTGCAAACTGAAGCACACACACGGTTTTAGAATCAACCTTCCTCAATCTCTCTCTCCATCTCTCTCTCCACAGCATAACGGAATGCACTGTCAACCAGAGAAATGCAGGGTACACTAAAGTAAAGAAGATAATATAGTGCGAACATTAAAGAAGAACACCCACCATATAGAAGTAGGATAGGCAGCAGCCGATCGTCCAGAAGACTGAGCCCGTCTTAACAGACTTCACCTGAAAGAGACAGGATGGATACTTTGTTAAGTGTGTCTGACAGAAAATAGTATACAGTCACAGCATAAGAAGGCAACAGCCCACCTGAATGCATGTGATCGAGCAGGGCACTTAAACCACTGAACCTCCCATTAGATTCTTTAACAGCGCATATGATGGGAATTTTTCTGCATCAGTAAAGCACTTTGAGTACTGTAGGGTGATCAGGATCAAGAAATTTTCCCTTAATGTAGCAGACATAATATTGACTGGATGACATTAAATGCAGCCATCAGTGATGAGCTTACTGCATAGCCCAAAAACCCCATTATGATTAATGGGGCAGTAGTAATCTGTAGAAGAATAATGCAGTGCTAAGCGAACAGCAATTAAGAGACAAAGGAAACAGCATATTTGAGCTTTAACTGGAGTGACTCAAACTCCTAAAGCCATCTCTTAAATTGTCATCTTTGTTTCCTAGCTCAAACGATGGACCACATTCACAGAGCAATGGGTCAATGAGGCGAGGCACCGCATGCTACCCAGGGATTAGTTTCAGTACCAGATGGCTGTTCCATTTAGTCAAAATATTTTATTGTCAGACTGAGTACAGCAGTGTCTCGTTTTGATTTTGTCTGTCAGCAGAAAGCCTCTCAAATTAGTGGTGTTAGCCACTTCATAAAACGAAGGCCTCTACTCAAATTTCAATGATTCTAACTCTTATGAACCTTTTTTTTTGGTAAATACACACATTTAAAAGTTGGTGCCTAAAACACATTCTAAAAAGTTGACAGGACCATGTTTACCTCTGTTGCATCATCTTTCCTTTTAACAATTTTGAAATCCAAATTTTGTTTTGAAATCCAATTTTTTTTTGCCATTCTTCCATTATACACATGTTCAGTGGAAGACATGTCTGGACTGTAGGCAGGCCATTCTAGCACCAACATTCTGATTACACAGGCACACAGTTGTAACACGTGAAGAATGTGGCATTGCATTGTCATGAAGCATGATCATCCCTGAAAAATTTGTAATCTAGAAAGCAGCATATGTTGCTCCAAAATGTCTAAAAATCTTTTAGCTTTAATGATGTCTTGTACAAGTTACCCATGCCTTTGGCACTAACATCCCAAGGATGACCCTTAACTTTTTGGCAGAGAAAACAAGGCATCTATTATTCCATAAACTCAAAAAATCTGAGAGGTTGACTTGTCAGACCACAACACACATTTCCACTGTGCATTAATCCATTTTAAAAATGAGCTTGAGCCCAGAGAAGTTGGTGTTCCTTCTGGATGTTCTTGACATATGGCTTCCACTGTGCAAAGCACAGTCTTAACATTCATGGATGCAGTAAAGAACGTAATTTTCTGACATCAATTCAAAGTATTCCTGAGCCCATGCGGTAATATCCACTACAGAAGCATGCCAGTTTTTGAACGCAGTGTCAGAGATCAAAGGTCACAGGTATTCAGCTGTAGTTTTCTGCCTCGCCCATTTTCTGCGGATTCCCTTAATCTTTTAAAGAGTAACTACACCCCACTATTTTGGGCTAAATCTGAAAAATGCTCAAAAATGGGAGGGGCACGCTGGGAGGGGCACTGCAGTAATGCTCATGTGTGGAGGTGGGGCTGCTAGGGAAACCAGGTGGGCTGGGCTGCTGTGTTTTTAGAGCTAGCGTACGTTAGCTATCAGAAAATATGGAGAGTGAAAGAATCAAACGGCACTTTTGCAACTGAGAGGTCTTACAAGGTTGACCATTTTTCTCTACTACCATTTCCATCTTCGACGAGGGAGGTGTTTTTGATCAGGCAGTGCGTCTTGAGCCTTAACAGTATGAGGCTCTACAAACAAAAGGCTATACAAAATAAAGGTTGACACAGTCAGTAACAATGGCCAATTAACATCAACCTTTCCTGAACAGTTTTGCTTTCCATAGTTGCAGTATTTGCCGTTTGTGCTTGCTGTTGATTTCTGTTTAGTGAGTATGTGCACCCGTGTTTGATTTGTGATGGGAAACACGAATCGGATGCAACACCGGCAGCTTTACGGGGACTTGCAAGAATCCTCACTTAATCTGTCCTTCAGGTTACCTAATCATATTTTGAACATTATCAATCTTTATTACAAACTAAGCTTAGACTAACTGGGTTATTTACAGTTGTAACAGACATTTGGCATATTGCAACCTTGTGAGGGGGTATTTAGCTTAGCACGTGAGTGTGGTTATCTCTTCGCTCTAGGCTCCTATGTTTTCATATTTATGAGCGCAGCATGAGTAGGGTGTTATCAGGGGGCGGTAACATTGGTTGACTGATTTGCATACTGTGACGTCATGGTACTTTGGTATGAAGACACGTCATCCGCGCCTATAGCAGAGTTGAACCACAGGGGCGCTGCTGAGGCAGAACTGACCACAATAAAAATTATCTTTTCACAGTTTGGAAAGATAACTAACTGAAGTAACTGAAATCCTGGCAATCTGTCAGTGTTGTTGGACTATTCACAGATGCATTTTTAACAAAACAGTAAGCCCTGAAACATGCATGCCCATAAAAGACAAAACATTTCCTGGATGCTCTTTTCATATCCATGCATGTTTTTTAAACATTTCACAACATTCCTAATATTAACTTGGCCATCAACTTATATGGAATGTGTTGCAGGTGTAAGTTTCAGAATTAGTGTACGTTTACAAATAACAAATTGATAAGGTAAAATATTAAATACTTTGTACTGTTTTTGCTCAAATACAGGTCAGGTTCTGTTTTTATTATATGCTTTTCATACTCTGTCTCAATTTTTTTTTTAGAATTAAGGTGTATATTAGACATGAACCACTTTTTACAGTGTTATAAAAACAAATTAACCAAAACAAAATCAATCATTTGATCAAATCAATATGGTTTTCATTTTGTACCCACTAATAACTTCCATCAAGGATTACTGATTTATTTCAGACAACCGAAACCCAAGACTAGTTGCACTAAGGAAACCATTTCTCAAACTCACAAGATTCCCTTTTTGAATTCATAGCAAGATTATATGTTTAAATCCCCACCTCATTTTCCCAATCATGCTGTATTTGACTAAAATGCTACAAAAGAATTAATGAAGCTGCTCTAGAAGAGCTTCTTTCAAAGCAGTGGTTTTATTTATTTATTTATGTGCTGGCAATCAAGGCTCATCAAGTGTCTATTCTAACTGCAGATCTAACACTGAATAGAAAAGCCTCCAACGTATGTCAGTTTATTCAACATTTCTGACAACGTGGCCAAGAGAAGGCGATATGGGTTCTGTTACTATTCTGTACTCAACGTAGTGCTTAATCACACCTAAAGGTCAAGTATGCTTTTGGCAGGAAACAGCAATTATCCAATAAATGAAGGAGGTTAGTTACTCCATAAGGATTTATAAAAACAGACAAAAAGACCAAGGTCAAAAGACGAAGGAGAGTGAGAGAAGTGTGGCGGACATGGATGGATGAGAGGGAGAGGGAGAACAAGGCACACAGATGAGTAGAGCATAAAAAGTCAAAGTGCAGCAGTGCTTTTACTTTAGCTTACCCAGAGGTAGTAGGTGAACTGCAGGGCAAAGATAGCTATGCCCTCATTGTCAAAGGAGCCAGCGACGGAGCGGGAGATGTAGCCAGGCACTATAGCGATAAAGCACGCAGCCAGAAGCCCAGCTCCCTGATTCCACAGCTCCCGTGTCAGCAGGAAGGTAGAGATGGCTGTCAAGCCACTGAAGATCGGAGCAAGGAACACGCACACGTCACGGATGTGCACAGTCACATTCAGGAGGTTCAGTAGGTAGTGGATTAGACCTGCTGTCACCATCAGCCCAGGGTAAACCTGGAGAAAGATAACAATGGAAATAATTTAGCACAAACAATTAAAGAGGCTACCCATTCATTAATCAATTAACAAAAGTATTTTAAGTAGGACACTGATTTTTAACTGCAGACTGTCATCTAAATAACTTACGGGAAAGTGTTTATATACACAAATCACATGTTGTAGAAAAGGTTTTAAATCTTCCACAGAAAGACATTTTTAAAAATAGTAAAAATAATCTAATTTAGTATGCAGCAAACACGCAGAATGAACAAATTATGAACAGATAGCTAGTGGAGACGCTAGCTGGATAAATAGCTGAATGTAAAGTTAGTCAATTTGAATGGAAATTTGAACTCAAGACTCTGGCTTTGGTCAGTTTTTCCCAACATGTAACAAGTACAGACATCACACATCACAAAACTGTTCAGAGACAAAATACTGAAGTCAAACAGAGCAGTCTGCTGTTCAGAAACAGCCTCTGGTTTAGTGTTTACTAACCTGGTCCTGGAGGCAAAACACCCTGCACAATTCAGTTTCCCATTTTAGTGTGCCTGCTCTAACGCACCCACTTTGGATCAGTAAGGGGTTGTTAATGAGCTGATTCATTGGATCAGGTGTGTTGGGAGCAGGAAAAATCACTAAAAATGTGTAGGACAATGTGCCTCCAGGACCAGGGCTGGGAAACACTGGACTAGTCCACACACACACAACAAAGCTCACAATGATTCTAAACAACAATATGCTTTGGTACTAGAGGGAGCCCAAGCAATCAACAGCACAAGGACCATAAATCTTGAATTTGTTAAGATTAATACTTAAATTAAAAATGTCATAATTCTTCAAGTTTGCAGTTTTGTGGAAGATTAAAATGTTATGTCTTCAACAGCTAGCAAATGTTCAGCAGAGAATACATTACAAACCTACAGAAATTATAATGTGGTTTAATACCATGAAATCTGTACTTATGTGCTCTTTTACATTTTCAAACAAGTTACATGTAGAAGAGCACATAAGACTTTGAAAATGCCCAGAATGAGTATAAGCCAATAAGGCCTTCACTGCTGCTTCCTTGACAGCTCAACTATCTCCACGCTTCCCTGAATCGATGAATTAGTGAAGTTGAAATAAATAATGTAAGCCTAATGCAAGGTGCTACAATCTAAAAGGCATATCATAGCTGAACTCTTCTCTAATCAGTAATTTTCCCTCCTTTCAATTCCTACAACTGCTCTCCATGATTAGCCAACATTTAGATTTTCTGCCTTTAAATTTTCTAAAAGCCCAGCAAGGTAGTAACACTTTAGAACTACAGTAAATGAGGCTGAAAACAGGAAAATGAATCTAAACTCTATCTGCCAGACCCCTTGCAACATTAAATAAAAGCATAGTATTGCTAAAGCATTTGCAAGAACGACTTCAATGCAGAAATGTGGCACAGACAAAGAACAAACAACAGAGAAAAAGCACGAGGACGATGCGCTTCTTTATCTGTTCCTTCAGTTCTGCTTCTCTCCTCCCTTATCCTTAGTCTCGCAGCCTGCAGGCCCTGCTGCAAATGAATGGCCGTATAACGTCTGCTCTAACTGTCCACAGCAGCAGATGCTTGGCTCTGTCTGCTCCAGCCCCCTACAGCTCCCACACAAGAGCTGTCAAGCAGTGAAAAAGCTCACTGCAGAGCGCTATCAAAGCCTGCCATAGCCGAGAGGGCCAGCTCGTTAGCTTAGCCGTGCTACACTAACGTCATGCTCTGGATGTGAACACAGCAACCAAGAGGGGGAAGCGTGTCAAGTCAAAGGCTTAGCCATACTGAGGGAGCCCTAAATATGCCTTCTGAAACAGTTCTAAAGGCGGCATTTTCTCTGTTGTGTCTACAAACTGCAGCTGATCCTTCATCCTCTCTAACGCGGCCGTGGAGTTTCTGGCTGGAAGGGCAAAGCGTGAGCTTCAGCAGGCAGCTATTCTTGAGCTTTGATGACTGCTAGGTCACAGAAGGGCAAAAACAGAAGCTTATTTCACTAAATGTCCTACACGTTCATAGTAATCAAAGGTGGTGTAAGGAGTCATTGGTCAGGAAATTGCAATATGCATGCAACTCACATGTAGGCACAAGGCAGCCACCTAAGCTCACATCCACCAACCAGCCTGAGGCCTGATGTGTTTTGGCATAATAAAGGAATACAAGATTATTGACTGATGACTAAACCAAAAAGAACTGCAGGGCATGCTTATAGTTTCCCAAAATAAAACTATTTCAATATCTTTATCTAGGCCTATATATTGAAAGCTTAAGCCAAAACTGAAGCCAAGTCCTCAATGCAATTAAGGCTTAGTTGTATGCTTCACAATGGACTTATTACTTATTTTGCTATTCCACTGACATCAGATATTTTTCATGTCTTGACATCACAGCAAAACCATCTATCTGGTGTTAAATTTAGAAATCAGTCTTCCTGATAACATCTACCCAAGGAGTCATGTGAGCAATGTGTGAAGGGTCTCAGACACACATAGTGATGAGAGAAAAAAATAAATAGAGAGGAAGACAGACAGAGAGAGAATAAAAACAGCATAGCCCATGTTCAGCACAGCATGAGTATTCAAGAATTTGAATTAGAGCATCCTTACCGTGCCACCCACAATCCTGCCAAGTGGATACCATGCCCTCTCATCAAACCAGTTGAGGAATTCATAAAAACCATTAGTACTGAGGTGATGAGTTGATCTGTAGTTGAACCTAGAAGTTGAGAGAAAAACAGGAGGTTGGTGGCAGGAAAATTATATGATTGGTAAGAGTAAGAATAAAACCGTTTATATGAAATGTAGATCTGCAATTCAGTCAGAAAGAGAAGGAATCTAGTCACGTGAAGAACTAAGTACACCTCATGAAATGTTTCTCTTTTTTTGGCATACATGGACATTTCAGTATTTGATCTATTAAACAGTATGAATAGATAAATATTATGTAACAAAAAACAAAAATTTGACTTTGCCATCATTTGCTTAAAAAGAAAAATTAACTGAGAGAAAAATTAACTTTTTTTCTCTGTTGAAAAGGTATGTACACCCCTGGCTTCAGTAACTGGTCCTGCCCCCCTTTGCAGAAACAACTTCATGTAGGCGTTTCCTACAACTGTCTACCCGTTTTTGACATCTACTGGAAGAAATTTTTGCCCATTCCTCCATGCAAAGTTTTTTCAACTGTGCAATGTTTCAGAGGTTTCATGCAGGTACAACTGGTTTAAATCCCACCACAGCATTCCAGTGGGATTCAGATCTGGGCTTTGACTAGGCCATTCCGTAACTCTCCATTTCTTTATTTTGAGCCATTCCTGCGTGGATTTACTTGTATGTTTGGGTCTGGGTATGTTTGTATCATTATCTTGATGGAAGGTCCACGTCATCAGTATCAATTTTTTTTTTGGACAGATAGTGTCACGTTCTCTTCAAACACTCTCTGGTATGAAAGAAAACTCAGCCGATTCTAGGATTGCAAATTGGCCTGGCCATGAGGCAGCAAAGCAGCCCCAAACCATAACATTTCCACCACCATGCTTTACAGTTGGTATGAAGTTCTTCTGATCAAATGCAGCCTTTGGTTTTGGACAAACATGGCTTCTGGTACTGTGGCCAAGCAACTCTATTTTTGACTCATGTGTCCAAAGCACACTGTTCCACAAGTCCTGGTCCTTGCCCAGATATTCATTAGCAAACTTGCCCCACTGTTGTTTTCAGACAGCAAAGGCTTCCTCCTGACACACCTCCCATATGTAGGTCAAATCTGTACAGTCATTTTCCAATAGTAGTTGCATGCACTTTAACATCAACAATGGCAAGAGCTTCCTGCAGATACTGTGATGACATTTTGGAGTTCTTAGAGACTTGTTATAGCATCTCATGGTCTGTTAATGGGTTACGTTAATGGACGTTTTTTTTTTTAAAACCACACTGTTAGAAATAAAAGGTACTGTGCAGGTACATTTCACGTTCATCAAGGTACAAACAATGTAAATGTACCCGCAAAGGCACAACATTGATCTTACGGTCCAGTTGTGTACCTTAAATAGGTTTTTCCCAAGTGAAAAGTATTTATACCTTTTCATAACCTAATGTTTTAAAACAGAACAATGAAATAAAAAGCTGAGACGAGACAGGATGTGTGGACTCAATACAAAATTCAATAGATGATACAATTATGTTCCCTGACTAAAGGCACCGAGATGTACCCTTGAGGGTACCACCCGAGTGACAAGTTATCTATCAACTCAGTTTAAAGACTTGATATCTGTATGTCTGTATTTTTCATGGAGTGTACTTCTTCACATGACAATTTCTGCAGTAGCTGAATACAATTAGGTGAAGCACCTCTCTAACTAAATAACAGGAAATTTGCATCTTCTGCAACTGGGACACAATCAGAACAGAAATCCATTTTGCCAAACTGTCCTTCCCTCTGCAATTTGTGTCTATTTAGTCGACCTGGACCATTTCTGTTCAGAGCCGAAAAAGGAAGCTTTCAAAGAACTGAATCACAAAAGCTTTGAACAGGATAACAATGAATCGTGACGCAGATTCAGAAGGATTTCAAAAGCATATCACAAAGTTTGGCCTCTAAATTTGACAAATGAAGGTAGCTACCTAAGCCTACATCTGCTGACCAGCCAAATGTCTGATGTGGTTCCCTACCACACAAAGGAATACAAGCATAATGACCGATGCCAAATAAAGAGCTAAAGAAGATGGATATGTTTTTCAAAAGGTAAACTATTTCAAAGCCTTATTTGAAAGTCTTGCTATGAGAACTTAAAACCAAAACTATAGCCTAATTTGGATGATTATTTAAACCAGTGGTTCTCAATCCTGGTCCTGAAGCACCACTGCTCTGCATGTTGTAATGTTTTCCCTGCTCTAACACAGCTAGTTCACTTCAAAAAAGCCTTGTTAATTAGTTGCACTGATGTTTCAATTTCCCAACGATTGTTTGTTGCATATATTGTTAGCCACTTTATATATTTTGATCTTAACCATACATGCCAGTTAAGTTAAAAGAATATTTAGTTTGGTTATTCATATATACTAGAACATCACAACGTCCCTACCACCCCAATCTCCCCAACACCCACCCCACTAAAACTCTCCCTAGATTTAGCCCTGTGGCTTCAGGTGTGTTGGGAACAGAGAATAATCTAAAATGTGAAGGGCAGTGGAACTCTTGCACCAGGACTGAGAAACCACTGATTTTTAGGCCAACTCTGAAAAAGGCTACTGCTTATGTACACAAAGTCCAGCAAACTGAAGAACCTACTATTAGTCTCTTCACACCTCTCAGGCATGAATATTGGAGTTTCACATCTTCCACACAGTAAACAACTCAAAAAAACAGTGCTGTCAACCCTGATCATGTGGACAGATTCTTTATGAGGGCTTCTCTTTGGCCTCAACCACCTCCACATGTCAACTAATCTCTAGCCACCTTGTAGTCTGCAGAAGTATGAATCTTCAACAACTGCACTGTGGAAATGAGCAGTGTAATCTGATTGTTACAGACAAGTTCACGGCTACCTCCTGCTTAGCATGCCTCTGACACTTCTCTAAAACCAGCAGATTAATGTAGCAAATATTTCTCACTCTGCAAGTAAACTACACCCACTGAGCACTTTATTAGGTACATCTACCTTGTATCTACACTCATTGTCCATTTTATCAGTTCTACTAAAGACAGAGGTTCACTTTGTAGTTCTACAGTTACAGGCTGGTTCTCTGTATACTTTGTTAGCCCCCTGTTACCCTGTTCTTCAATGGTCAGGACCCCCACAGGACCACCACAGAGGATGCCCATGTCACTGCAGTGTTGAGAATGATCCACCAATTATTACCTGCTCTGTCGTGGTCCTGTGGGGGTCCTGACCACTGATGAACGAGGGAAAGATGGGATAGCAAAGTATGCAGATGGACTACAGTCTGTAATTGTAGAACTACAAAGTGCTCCTATATGGTAAGTGGAGCTGATAAAATGGACAATGAGTTTTACAGTGTTTTCACATATAGTTTGTTTTAAAAGAACCGAACCTAGTTCTGTTAAGGTGAACCTGGAAGGGAACCAACTGCAAATGACCTCAGTTCGTTTTGTGTTCACAGTGTAAGTGAACTATAAAGAGGACTCAGTCTTCTGTCTGGTCCACTGAGATCTCAGACCACTTCTTGTTCAGACCATAACTCCATTAGAACTCAGACACCTTTCACAGCACTGACAGTGTGCACAGCGCTCGCCAAGTGGGCAGCGTTCTCTGATAAATCCGAGCTATCAGGTGACGAGAAGAACCACCAGATCCGCCTGCTGCTCTCCTATTGGCCGCGCTGAAACGATTGGTCGAAGTCCAAATTGGAAAAATGGCCCTGCGGGTCTGCCGTGGTGGGCTCAGTTTTCGGCTGTGCTCCTCACTGAAGCTCCACCCGGCGAATTTTCATTCATTCAGCGTTCAGAGTGAAAGCAGCTGAAAACTGCGCTGCGTGCCCAGCTCGAGCCTTTAACGCGGTATAATCACGCAAGCTCTCGTATACGGTATAAGTCAGCGCTGCTGTCTGTCTCAGATCACGGACAGACTTTATCCTGAGTAGAACCTCATAATGATCCCTGGTCTGTTTACCTACTGAAGCGCTGAAGACTGTGGCCGTGTGTACGGCGAGCATCGAGGTCTTCACCATAAAGCAGAGCTAAAGCGGACTGGGGCCGTTTTGTTTTCACAATGCACAAATTAATCGAACCACAAAACAAACTACAAACGAACCGAACTGAGACCACGAGAGATGGTCTCAGTTCGGTTCGTTTTTGGGGTCGTTTAGAGGGGTCTGAGTTTGTTTGGCGTGTTCACATATTCAAAAGAAACCATGACTCAGCGGTCTGAGTCCACTTCAGACGCTGAAACGGCCCAAGTGTGAAAACGCCCTTAGATACAAGTTAAGTGTACCTAATAAAGTGCTCAGTGAGTGTAGCTGCATTATGTTTACTGGTGTATTTATTCATATTCGTATATTCACCCTATGCTTTGAAAGCAAATACCAAAACAGTACTCAGTAAACTCCAGCTTGTTTCCACCTTCCCCATTTCCTTCCCCACACAGGCCTCTGTGTGTGTGTGTGCATATGCGAGAGCAGTGCAAATATATCAACTTAGCTGAGTTCATCAAGTGCTTCTGCCCCTATAAATTTTAGACATACTGGAGCTAAACACTGATTATGGGCTTCTCTTTAATCAATTTAAATATAAAACTCTGTTGATTTCACCACATTTTGACTTGCTGTAGCAGCCCAAGACCTTAGAGGTTGTATGGTTTTGCGATAAAGGTGTCAACTATGTCTGTTATTTATACAAGAAAGAGAAAAAGAGAAAAGAAATTAAGTCAATCACTCGCTCGTACATTCTACCCATTAAAAATTCAATTACATGCAAAATCAATGGCAGCATGTTAAATTAGGAATACAATGACTTTGGAAGTATGGGCCAATGGTGGTACCTGGTATTTTACATATATATATCTGCCGATACATAAACATTTATGAATAGAGAGGCTAGTGAGCTGCTTCATGTTGTGAGAGGGCCCAGAGTAGAACATCTACACTTATGGTAATGGATAAAATATACCAAAAAAGTGTACAACACAGATGAGACATGCAAAGTAAAAGAGAAGAGAATTCTAGGTCCCAAGATAGTAATTTTAACTTTTTTGTTATTTCAAA